GCGGGTCCCACTTGAATGATGTAAAAGAGTTTTAATGGCTTTTGGTATTTGTCACATGTTTATATATATATATATATATATATATATATATATATATCAGATGGAAGGAAAGAAGCAAATGGGTGGCTGCCGAGAGAGTGGGAATTGAGAAAACAATTGTGATGATTCGCGGGGCCCACTGGGTGACTTTTTGGGCAAAATTGTTTTGCCTTTACATGGGTTCTGATGGAGTGTTTATGCAATGATGTTGATGGAAGCGTATGGTGTATGCTAATGTCATATTTGTCTGAGGTCGGTGAATTTGCCTTATATATTTCATGTGTGTGTGGACTGAGTGAATGCAAAGATAGAAAGAAAAAAATTTAGAGGAATACAGAGTGAGCCGAGAGAAGAAAGAGAGAGACAGAGAGTTTGAGAACACGAGAGAGTTTGAGAAAAGAGAGGAGCCGAGAGTTTGCAGAGGAGGCTGGGAGCTTGAGGCTTTGATGATCCAGTGACGAATTTTTTTTTTTCAAGGTAGGGGTTTCTAAGCTATAATTTCTTTGCCCTTTCTGAATTTTCTTTATATAAATTATTGAATTGTTCACTAAATTATGAATATGATTATGGTTATTTGAAATCTGTGTGTAAATGAGGCATGATGAGGGTTTTTTTTTTTTTTTTTTTTTAAATGAATTGTGAGGAAATATAAATGTTTAGTTGAATTATCTTTCTGCTCCATTTATTTATAAAGTTGTATTTGATGAGAATGAGAATATGACTTGGTGTGAGAATTCATTATAAACTTGCGAGCATGATGTTAATGAAATGCGTATAATTATATATTGACATTAGATAACATGTGACATTTCATGCATTTATCATTGGGCATGAAATGGGGGGGAAAAAAAGTTGTTTTATAAAGTAATGGAAAATGATTTTGGGAAAGGATTTTGAAATTAAATGGTTTTGTGAAAAATTCGGACGCCAGGGGGGTACCGAGGGTCCGTGGCATTAATGTAGCCTAGAGGGATCTAGGGAGATCGCCTTAACGTGGTTAAGCTATCTGGGCCCCAAATGACGCCGTAGGGGTACCAAGGGTCAGGGACAGTAGCCAATTCTTCTCTCGTGTCACTGAGGGGTTACTGAGGGATGGGTTACATTAACGATTTGAAAAGTGAGGAAATAGAAGAGATTTTGAAATTGGGGAGCAACATTGCATGACATTGCATCTCATTGCATAGCATAGTTCATTACGACTTTGATCCTTGGTTGTTGATTTCGTTGCTAAGTTTCTCCCCGGCATGGCATGACCCCGTTTCCCTTGTTCCCATTCATTGTTTAGATTCACGGGGTCATAAAAGGTGTGTTTTAGGCGCTTCCTACTGAGCTTTATGCTCACTATATTATTTTAACAAATTTTTTCAGGACACGGAAGGGAAGTGGTGGACGACGCTCCTCCACAGATTTCGATGGGTTAGTGGACTATTGTGACATATTTTGTAGCTATAATCTCATCTTATTATTGTGGACTATTGTGACATATTTTGTAGCTATAATCTCATCTTATTATTATTATTATTATTATTGTTTTTATTTTAAAAACCCTGGGATGACACGTATATTATGGATTGACATAGGAAAAGACGGTAGTATCATTAATTGATCTCGGGCTCGGGTAAGGACCTGGTTAGTGATTTGGACCCTCGGATCCTGGTCGTTACAAATTTGGTATCAGACCTTTTTATTAGAAAATTTGGGGCGTGACAGTTTGTAAGGCTTCCTGATGCTGGTTAGGGTTGTTCAGTTTCTTCCTTTTGTTTTGGTGATTCTCTTTTGGTTGCTTGTGTTTAGCTTAGCCAGGTTTAGTCTTTCCTATTTGTATAGTTAGTGTTATGGAGTGAGTTTGTTTGGTGTTCTTCCTGGGGTAGACCTGTCAATGGAGCAGATCCTGATCCAAATCCGATCCGATTAGTCGGATATGGATTGAACAAAAAATTCGATAACCCGGTTACGATCTGAATCCGATAATCCGTTAGCTTAACAAATCGGATATGGATTATGCTGATCCGATCCGATTGAAATTATATATATAAATAATTCAATATATACAATTATTTATCAATAATTTTACACACATATATATCAATACTCCTATTAGAATTGTATTAGAGGTAACCCAAAAATCCAAAATAATAATAATGTTATATATAAATATTGTGGTGTTCTCATTCACGTGTTAATAAATCTCTTAGTACACATACTAATAAATCATACTCTTTATAATTATATATATTACTAAATATTAATTTAATCCGATTTCAAATTCGATCCGATCCGATCCGAGTCCGAGTTAAATAGGATATGGATTGGGACATTCAGTCCGAGAACCCGTTAGTGATCTGAATTCGATAATCCGTTTGCTTAACAAATAGGATATGGATTTGATCGATCCGATCTGAATCCGATCCATTGATAGATCTAGGTATGCCCCTTCTATGTTGTATAGTTGTTCCCCACCCCCCACCCCCCCAATATATATATATATATTAAAATTGTATGTAATAGTATATATTTGTGAGATATGGGGAGGAAATGACAAATAGAGAGATACGAGGAGAAACAGGGCAATTGAATCATGAGAAGAGCTTCTAAGTACCCAATAATGACAATTATGGATGGGACTTTGATGCTTCTAATCGATCAATGTTTATAGATTTATGTTTTTGCTGGAGCACGAGAGTAACCTGTTCTTCGATTTATACTCTGCATAATCCCAAAGTTTGTTGGAACTACTCTACAGGTTGAAACATAAAAGGTTACATTCATGTGTATTTCTTTGCAGTTAAAGGATAAAAATTGATTGCAATTTGTAACACTATGCAAAATGTAGATTGCTTATTCAAGTGCATTTTTAATTGCCTGCTTTGATGGAGTTCATACGCATTTGTGGCTCTTTTGATGGCATTTCTATGCCTCTTGGTAAACCTCAGCTAGAAACGTGATGATTTGGGGTTTATGTCAAAATAGAAATGGGGAAAAAAGTATTAGCTTCTGAAGGGACCAAAAAAACTTGATTTGGCTTGTAAAAGCATTTACTATTACAACAAGCAATGAGACGTAAAGCATACATCGTTTGACTATGGTTTTTGAGGTTAGGGACGAAGAAATGGTGCATTTGTGCAGCGATTCCACTTACTGTGCTGTAAGTGATTGCGGTAGAATACTAGGTGATTGTAACTTGTAGATTTTTTGTAAGACTTGTATCTAGTGTCCTGTTTGATCATATTGTTCAGCTTCTTTTTAAAACTTTGCAAGTATTGCTCTTTCCAATTCTCAGGCTTTCGGGTCAAAATGTCACTCAAGGAGAATATAATTAATGCTTTGCACGTATAGCTCCATCCACCCTACACTTTTGGTCAAGACCTTGCACTCCTCAAAATGATTCAGAATTTCATGCCGAAGGAAAACATGAATGTCCAAACCTAAGTACTAAGCGGATTTCAGCAGTTCTCAGGTAATGGATATTGTTGTTCGTGGTTATTTGTTAGGATCATCGGATACAATTCATAATCCGTTTGTAGAGGAATTATTATTGCGGAAGGATATTGCTAAATATTTTTTAGACTTCATCTTTGTGTAGAATGTGATTATTTGACTGCCAATCACTAAAGGATTTGAATCACCAAAAAATAATTGTGCTCGAACAATTCCTAACATTTACTTTCAGTTTGTCAATTGTGAAGGTGAAAAACTTTTATGCCTGTTCAGTAGCCAAGTATTAGACATAACTTGTTTTCCCATTATTGCTCCGATGAATACTGAATTATAATATCCATTGTCCGATATATTTATTTTTGATCAATTTGTTAAACTGCCACGAGTTTATCAGTTTCATCAGCAAATTATACTCTACTTAACTGCTAGGATCATATTAGGATTTAGGTATGGACGCCGTTTTCAATGACTATTAGACAGTTTTAATTGAAGCATCGGTTTCGTGAATTAGTACTGTATCTCCATTTATCTGTATATATTGTTCACCTGCGTAAACAGGTTTTGAGCATTGAATAAGCTGAGAGGAACTGATGCTGCAGTGGTATAATTTGTAGCCGACATCCCACGACAATCAGTTGAGGTAACATAGAAGAGAGAATGAATCTTGTACTTTGTTTTGGACGCACATTTGAAGAAAGATTGTTATATCAATCATTTCAAGATTTCTTTTTTTTAATCGGAGAACTATATATTTGCTTTTTCGATATTTAGGGAGGCTGTAGCCAAGGCAGATGCACCCAGTGCAACTCGAGTGAGGAGGAGGTCAAATAATGAGGCAGAGTGGGAAGTTGCTAAGCTCGTGAGAAGAAGATATTGTAGCTGTCATGCAGTGAGAACCAAATGTTGCGTTATCAACTTGTGATTTCCAATGGCCTTAAAAGCTCATTCACAACTTTATATTGCAATCAAACATTTCTCAGATATATGTTTCTTTGGCATAATGTGGCAATATGTTTTGCTTTGTTGATAATAGGGGCACTGTAAGAAATGATATGTATGTATATATGTATGTAATATGGACTGAGAGTCTGAGGAGAGAGAGAGATGATGGCATTGTACAAATCGTACTGTAGGCAAAGCAAAAATTTAATTTATTAAAAAAATTTCATGTTCGGGAAAATTGGGATTTTCAAAATAGAGTTATTACAACAAAACATGGAGAACATAGAGAAAAAATTTCATGTTCGGGAAAATGGGGATTTTCATAATATAGTTATTACAACAAAAAATAAAATATTAATTTTTAGTAACCGATAACAAACTCGATTCCCAAACCCATATGGGAAAAATCAGAGACTGGGAGTTATATAGTCATAGGCCTTATCAATAAGCCCAACCTTATCCAAATTAATACAGACTGCGTATCCAAATTAATACACACTGGGCCTCATCTCTGGCCAATTTTGTATCACAAAAACTTCGGCTTATTTTGTATCACAAAAACTTCGGCTTTAATAATTTGGCTGGGGCCGCGAACGCAAACTCCCACTATCACAAATTATTATGACATAGGCTCCACTTCTTGAATAGATCTTAAGCAAGTACCCCTCCTGAGTACAATGGAGGTTACTAACCTAGACCACGGACCTTTTTGATTACCCATAAATTCCGTCCAGGTAAGTATGTTGTTAGTTACGCTTTCAACTCATTAAATAGGCCTGTCTAGATAACTCGAATTTATGTTTTGTCGATGTGGGACAGCAGAAGCAAACAATGTACCCCAACCTCGAGATAGACTAGACAGACAGACCGACCTTTTACTTTGATCTGATACTTGTTGACTCTTGAATGCATATCTGATCTTTGTTAGCAAATAGGACAAGTCAGTGAAATTTATGGTTGATGAAGTGAGAGAAGTTGGGTTGTTTGATTTAGCAGACACTTTTGCGAGATATGAGGAGAAAATGGCAACTAGAGATAGGAGGATAAACAGGGCAATTGAACCTCTCTGATGAAGATACGCAATTCCCTTTCTTTGTTTGATTATTTCTTGAAGTAGTGTGTGTTTATTGTTTACATATTGGCTGTTAAGGTCCAAACATTGTGAAGAGTATGTTGTGGAAATTCCACATATTTATAGAAAAATATATAAATACAACATTCATATGCAATGATTTAATGAAATGTACAACACTACCAATGTGAAAAATCTAATAACAATTCTTTCATTAAACTGAATAATACATCATTGAACAATATAGATATAATAATCAATAAAAACTGATAAATAATTCAGATTAATATAATAATAGAAATGAAGAATAAAAACGACAATAATAAAATAGGTAAGAAAGAGCTGGCCTGATTGTTGAGGCTTGTGTAAATACATTGACCTAAAGTTGATAGTCCTCCCCTTCGTGCGGGTATTGGTGAAACTAGTCAACTCCAAGATACAACCCAATCAGCTCACAGCGGCGTCTCCTCCATGTGCATGACCACAGGAAGACTAGGTCCAAGTCTATACGTGTCTCGTTGCCCATAAACTCAATATATAAAATTGTATATAATAGAATATAGAATATTTCTATATGAGTCACACTGATTCATATATCATCATTCATATATACTCATATGTACAAATATTAGAAAGATAGAAAGAATATGATAGGAGTATATATCTCTCCATATTTTAGATCACTGTCTCTACCATATATCACTCTACAGCCTATCACTCTACCACCACTACCATACATATATATAGATAGTAAATTTGTAACGTCTAAGATATATTATGATAGAAATAATGGTTCAAATAATATACTCATAAATATTATTTAACTTTTGTAATAATGATTATGTAACTCATATAATAATATATATAATAAATATTATATTAAATATTATTTATGTTTTTTTAATTAAAATATCTATGACAGTCCCCACCTATTTTAATAAAATTAAATAAGTAAAATATTTTTGAGCAACTTTATACTATGTAATCAGTGTAGGTGCTTTCCGGGCTTGAACCTACATTTAGTGTGATCGTCTTCAATTGAGGAACCTGAATGAACTAAGTCTTGAATTCGGTCCCTTGAGCCAAACTTTAACATACCACACACATAGTATTGACGATAGACTTGATTTGGCGGGTTAGCACAATTAATGGCCATGCGCTGGTAACTTGATTCTCATGAAAGCTCTAGGGAATAACCCAACTCCCATGGTCGCGACCTCACGACGACTTTCACTTAGGTGAATCCTCCAAGAGTGTATGTGACCTATACCCTGCGAGAGTATGCTCACCTTGAATTCATTCAGGGCAAAGCCATTCCTTGACATCGCATTACAACATGGATGCCATAGGGATAAGTAGGAAAGAATCTCCTCGAGAAACCTCCTAAAAATTAAATAGTGTTGTCAATGAGTCACGCAGTGCAGATTGTTTCTATCCATTGAACCTTTCGTCATGTGATTAAATCGCCAATCAGAAGGTCAGGTTACTTCCGTAGGTTACTCCCTTGGGGCTTAGGCCCATCCCCCTTGACATATATAGGACTATGTCCTAAGAAGACTTTTGGTCTTTTTTATTTTCTTTATTCACAACCCAACTCCTTTCCTTCTCTTCTTTTTTTTTTTTTTTTTTTTTTTTTTTTTTTTTCACAAAATAATTCATCACTGATAATACCTCATTTGAAAAATCAGGGATGGATAATTTGTTAGCCTATCCGGATGCATTTGCTTTTCCATTATGTTAGTTGCAACATTGCAAAGTAGCAAATTAGGAAGTGGTAAGATTGAGAGAGATGCAAGCACACACAAACACACACACATATACCATATCGGATGAGAGAACCCGGGCAAGCCCGTGCGATCTCTCTCCACCACACAAAATTTTAATTTTATTAAGTATAACCGGCCATGCGAGCACACTTGCTATGGCAAAGCTGGTCCTATACAATATTACAATTTTTCGTTCCTTCTTTTCCCAATTTATATACACTCATATAAAATAAATTTGATGATGATGAACTGGTGATGACAGCATAGTGACTAAGCTACCAACGTTGTGGGTTGAACCAATCTCCACTTAACTAAAAGACCTTTTCTTCTTTGATAGTTGGATTTTTCGTTATCAAACCTCTGTAGTATGATCAACAAGGTCCTCTGACAGCAACGATGAATGGACCAGTGGCTCTGTCCATAGCTGACAAATCCAGCTAGTCACGAGTCTACCCATCACCCCTTATCATAATCTTCTTATGTGCTCCTTTAGGTTGATTTTGCTTTGCACCTCGATCCCATTTCCTTCTCTTATTCTTGTTCTTCAATAACTGAATTTTCCATTGTAATCTCAAGGTGCATGCCTCGGTATTGTACCTCGTGATAAAATCATATATTTTTCAGTTTCCATATTCTACTGTAAAAATGCGAGAGTAAAAAATGGCATTTGATATGAACTTTATGGTGTGATAAGTTACGTGTGTATTAAAGAATTAAGGACCTAATTACCAATTAATATAGACATCAAAATGAGATGTAACGTCTCACAATTAAAACTTAAAATCCCACCATTTGTCTTATATATATATATATATATTTGCCATATATCAATTTTATAACTGATACACAACTGACAATTCAATGTGTATTGACGGAGTGGCCGGTCCTACACGCCAAATGGATGTTGTGAATGTGCGGTTCAAGAAAAACCTTTTGGGTAAAGTTTAAATTGATAAAAACCATTACCAACACTACTACCAAAGTAGCAAGAGTGAGTAGGGATCGTCCCAAGGGATTGTGGGGATCGAGCAATGTCGTGGAATCACAATTAAGGCTAGTAGGTCGAGTGATCAAACAATTGGTTGGTTAGTTGATTAAAGAGCAACTAAATTAAACTAAGTGATAGCAAAAGAATGCAATTAAGAATAAGTAAGAGAGAGAGATCTTGGGGTTTAGAGATCACCACCAAGCAATGCATTTCTATATCATTGACAAGTGATTAATGAGGGCAAATGGTGTGTTGCAATATTGTTGTGTGTGTGTGTTTGGTTGATTCAACAAGTAAGGATGACTAGTTAAGTATGTATTGTCTAAACATCATGTGAAAGGCACAATATATCTAAGCAATGAAGCATATATTGTCTAAACAACATGTGAAAGGTACAATAAATCAAAACAAGTCATTAATCCTTTCATTAAGCTCACAATCCAAATACAACATAAGGTTAGAGACATATGCTAATTGCATTCAAAAGCTTGGATCATCAAACAACAAGCATAGATTGTCCTCCCATTTAACACTACACTACAACTACACTACATCTACAATACTAGCATGAAAATAAACTAGGGGAGAGGCACAATCCATCAAGAGATAAGCATAAACCATCAAGAGAATCACAAAAGCATTCCTTTAAACACTATGTTTTGACAATCTCCAAATCTATAGTATCAATACACATAGACATGCATCAATAACACAAAATCTAGAGACAAGCACATGAACATCTATTCTAGCATACATAGACATATGGATAGAATGAAATGACCAATTGGAAGCATTAAACTACATAAATCATTGAATAAACAAGATCTATATATATCAAAGTGTCAAAACATCAATTACAACACTAATCCCTCAATAATATACAAGATTAAGATATAGAAAGTATGCTTGGGGCTAACTCTAGCCCCAAGAGGATGTCTAGCCACTCATGGTGATGATGCTCCAACCCTTAAGGGCTAATTTCATGGTTGAAATCTGCTCCTTGTTGATGTAGAAATCCAATGGTGTCTCTAGCCTCCTCCTCCTCTAAACTTTCTTTCCAAGAGATGATATGAAAATAAATGTTAGTTTTTTTTTTTTTTTTTTTTTTTTTTTTTTTTTTTTTTTTTTTTTTTTTGTAAAAACAATCCTTATCTTTATATAGATAAGTTAAAATGACACCCAAAATGACCTGGGGTCGTGCACACAATATTCCTTAATGATTGGATAAAGGACAACTTTCAATGAGATGGAATTTTAACTTTTTCGCACTGGAGGAAGTTCGATCGATTGAATCTTGAACTTGGATCGATCGAAAGTAAGTAAGATCGATCGAACTTAGGTTGGATTGATCCAATTGGCTGAGCTTTTTGGAAAAAGACAAATTCGAGATATTTATGGGAAAAGGACAAAAGTGGTTAGTGGGTGGTACAGCTATGGATATGATCAATCATTTGAATAAGGACAAAAGTGTTCGATCGATCGAAAGATGGTGTTGGATCGATCGAACTTTTGGAACTTTATGCTTTTGGGTCAAGACTTGGATCTATCTTGAAGTACTGAGATCGATCATTGCTCGATCGATCGAACCTTAAACTTGGATCGATCGAACTTTGCTGCTTGCCACATTTTGCTTCATTTGCTTCCTTCTTTCTCTACTTTGCTCCTTTCTTTGTTTAATCCCAGAATTGCTTCAATTAAACTCTTATTTGGCTAAGTTAGCTTATTTTCGGGATAAGTGCCTGAAAAAGGAAAAAAACGGTAAAGTAAAATAGATAAAGGTACTAGAATGCCTAAGCTTAAAGGGTTTAAATACGCATTTTTCAGTGCTCATCACACCCCCAAACTTAAATATTGCTAGTCACTAGCAATGAACTAGAAAGTAAAGGAATGAAATAAACAACTATACAAGTATGAAT